CGACGATCACTTTCCTGATGAGTGTTCGTTGCCAGATTTCCTTTACCCGAATCATCATCATGTGCGCATCGGTCTCCAAGGTCGCTTTATGAATCAACAATGCCCGCCGAAGAGCACAAGGTACGGCCGCAGGCCGGGCTGTGCCTCTACAGCGCAAGAGCAACAGATAATGCAATGTCGATCATCCGCTGAACTCGAAACGGACAACGGAGACACCTGCGGAGACTGTCCGCGAAGTTTGAACTTTAATTCCGATGTCAAATCTCCCGATCGTGTTCCACGCGTCGGACCGAATGTATCGGGACAACAGACAGTTTCCAATTCGGGACATCGCTAGGTTTGGCGGTTGCAATTCGACAACAGGCTACGCGGAGTCATTGGTTGGTTGCTCTCACGAATTTAACGGAATGTCAAGTGGTATCTCTCAGGTTGCTTCTCTCTTTTCAACCACCACCTTCTCTCTTCCGATTCCTCCCCGCTGCATGTGTTCGGGCCTGTTCATGCATTGACTGTGCGTTTGCGTCCAATCCAGCACCGCTTGTTTCTGCCACCCTTCGCTGCATGTCTAAATCCCGCTCAGTTACTCCGACACCCCATAATATCTACATCCGCCCTACTAATAGCTCTCCCTCTTCCCCGGGTCCTTCACGAATCTCCCTCGACGATCCCAGTAACACTGCTGTGGTTACCTCTCCCGCATCACCCCTCACGCGTCGAGATCTCCCATTGAAGATCGACCTGGTGCGGCTGACGTTGCTGCTCACTTTCATTCACGTGTACCCTCCGACGAACCGCGCGCTCGACGTCCCTCCCCCGACAACTCTACTCGCATGGCTAAACGAATGCGTCGCCACTCCCCTGAACGCCCATCTCGCTCGCGCTCTTCTGATTCCCAAGGGGAAACGGCTGCGGATGCGGATAGTCCCGAAACGACTACTTCGCAGGAGCCGGTTGCCCCCACCAAGAAGAAGCGCACCCGGACACTGACCACTCCCCATCAATCTGCCGTTCTTCATGCTCTGCTCGCGCAGGTCAGCTTGACATCTTCTGCGATTGGTCTCGTGCTGACTTGATGTGTGCCAGTCTCGCTTCCCAACTACAGCTGTTCGCGAAGAAGTCGGTCGTTCGATCGGTCTCAGTGCCCGCAAAGTCCAGGTATGTGGCAGTTGCTGCGTGGTCAATCCTTGATCCTTCACTGACAAGCCTCCGTAGATCTGGTTCCAAGTACGTCGCAGGTAGCGGTGATGCAATCGAATACTGATCAAGCTTTGCAGAATCAGCGCCAAAAGGCGCGTCGACCGGGCGCTCAGCCCGAAGCCACTCCGCAGGGTTCAAACTCGCAGCAGTTCAGCCCATTCCCGAATCCCTCTGCACCATACGCTAGCTCGTCATCGCACGTCTTGCCTGCCGACACGCGACCTTCATCTTCCGGTTTCGGCAGTTATTCGAGCGAAATGCCGCCGCAGCTAGCCGGCCCCGGAATTCCTGGGCGATCCACTTCAGCTGTCTCCCGCGGCCGGCCTATTCTTAGAATCCCGAGCGTGCCACATCACCGCGACCTGCCTCCAGCGCCTTTTACGAGCCGTTCGCTGCCCTCCCTGGAGCCCGGCAGCCCAGAGGGATCCTTCTCCATTCGGCACGACCCGTCCCGCATTCTTCCCCCTTTGAGCGAGATGACTCGTGGCCGCCCCATCCCGCCTTTGTCCATGTCTATGTTTGCACGTTCAGCGCCAACGACCCCGTCCAACGCCACATTCCCGACGTCCCCGTCTCCCTCGCCGACCTTTGCCTATTATGGCCATCGGCCGTACTCCTCATCTCTCGGGCTGCCGCCGCCATTTACTCTGCAGCCGGCGCCGCAGTGGGACAGCTCCTCGTCCCACGCGCACTCATCGCTCTCCCGCGGCTCCGTCTCGGCGCGCGACAGCTCGTCGTCGCCCCCGTCGAGCTTTGCTTTCGAATCCGAGTCAGAGATGATCCGGGAAGACACACCGCGCGATGAGACGCCCCGGACAGAGACCTCCCGGGCGTATCACACTGGCCGCTATGATCCCGTGCGAGCCATGTTTGTGCCCTACTCTCCGACGTCTGGCAACAGCCCTGGCCCCAGCTCGGGGGCTCCTCCTGCTTAATGCATGTCACTCACGACCCTTGTCACGTCCTCCAAGACGGTCTCACTCTCTTTTCTGTTGTCTGAACAGTCACGTCCTCTCCTTTGTACCAGAGCTACCTTACTGACGCTAATGACCTAATATTCTCCGTTTTCTCCTACTTAACCGCGCTTCGGAAATGTATTAACACTTGGCTATCATCATTCGCTCCTTGTAGTAGTTTGCCTGCCATCTTCGTATCAATAGCCTACAGTTATTACAGTTATTTACTCAGTGACCTACTTGTTGTGTTTTCTGGCCGTAGACCAATTTGCAATTCTCACAAAAGTCAACCCTTTTTTCAACGTGGCTTCTCCAGATCCTTCAGCAATGTTTGCTAACTACAACGTGAAGCCTGCTTTTCAGCAGCCAATCGAACTCGTAGCTGCGTTTGTCGTCGAAGCCGAGCCTCGACGACATCTATTTCGGAAGCGGTCTTCCCTCCCGTGCTGCGTTCCTCCAACAGGCGCTGTAGCAGCTGTGCACGTCGGCCGAGACGGTCATTTCCGGCAGCGACTTCGTTGCCATCCGGCTCTGAACCTTGTTTCGTCATTAAATCTTGCCAGATGCACAGAAGCGCACCTGAAGGTAACGGGGGAACGATCTTGGCCTGATCGCCCGGTAGTGCGGGATCCTCCACGTGGCCAGTGTCGTGCTGCTTCTCTGTGGGCGGCGTCTCGAGGTCGTCATCTCCACGCAGCTCATCGAGTCGCGACGGATAGTCCCGTTTGGCTGTGCGATCACTTGATAGATGAGCCTGCACGCTCTCCAATAAATTGCGGTGCTTGATTCGATGGGTCTTTTTGGGGCGTGAATCGTCATGCGATGCTTCGGCTTTCCGAGTGATCGCGGCGTCGATGATATGAGCCGGAGATTTGGATTTATCTGCATCCTCCCTGCGGGCAATTGATATATCTTCTTCATCATCACGGCACTTGTCAGTAGGGACCTGAGTCTCTGACAGATGTAGCCCGCTGGAACCTCCAGACGTATGTTCATCCGGTTCTCTCTCACGCGCTTTCTCCCGTGGAACGCGTTTTGGCGGGGGAGATCTGGAGCGTGAACTAGCTCGAGGCAGTGGTGGCTTCGGACTGCGTGGGCTGGATTCGCGCCACCTCGTTCTCCTCAACGGCTCTTCCACATGTGGAGCATGGCGGTCTGGACTGTTTTCATACTGCAATTGAGTCTGAATCAGTAAATGCCGAGAGCAAAATGGAATCTAAGCTGTGCAACACACCTGGACAACCGTGTCGTATATGAATAAATCCTTGTAGGGCGATCGGACATAGGAATAGACCTCTGCCAACTCATTCAGCCTTCTATAACCAGCAGATTCATGTCATAGGACAACGCACCGTGTGCGAAATGCTCAGCATTGGGGTGTCGACTTCCTTCCACGTAAATCGTATCGAGATCGAGAAACTCGGAGAGCAGCTTCACCGCCGATTCGGAGCGGATGTCTATGGCTTTCATAATCGAAATAACGAAATTCGTCAGGAACTACAAAAGGACTTGTTAATTATCACGTCCGCAACGTGCGTCAATCTCACTGACCTCGACGTCCAGATTCATCCAGACTTGGAGCTCTCGCCGGAGGAACATAGTTGTACGCGAAATGAGTTCTGTCGACCCAGCGAACTGAGATGGCGTCGGGTAAGGGCGATATCGCGTATAAGCATTGGACGCAACGTGCTTGCCGAGAGTCAGTCCAAAAGGCCATCTCAATTAAGTGCACCAACGGACTTTCGCATAGAGCCCGTGCTCATAGATCCACCGTCGTTGAGAGATCGCTCTGTCCAACCTGTCCGCCTCATCTTGCTCCGTCGGCTCCCGCCTGCCCCATTCTCGTTCCCTCACACGCCGCCGTCGAGGTCGTCCGGGAGCCGTGACAGCGGAAGGAGCGGTGCCGGTGAAGTCCTCAACGGTGCCAAGAAGTGCTTCTGGTAGTCGTAGCGGGATCGAATCTTGTGTATCAGAAAGTCGCCGATCGTTTGTGAGCATAACGGGCATCTTCTGGACTGGCCTAAAGTTATGTCAGGGCCCCGTATATGGGATTTCGGAAAGTTCCAAGAACATACCAGTCCAAATGAGCAGGCAGTCGAAACAGAACTCGTGGGCGCAAGTGGGAATGACAGTCCGGTCTAGCATCCCTTGCAAACATATGCTGCATCGCTCTCCGTCGTCCTCGTCGTCTTCATCGTATGCATGCTGGGGCGGTGCGTCCTGGAGGTCTTCGAGTTTGATTGCTACAGGTGAAGATTCAAGTTTGACTCGTTTAGGCGACGGACTCCTGGACATGAGTGGAAGACGAGCTAGGTGGTAAATGACGGCGCCCAGCACAGTACTTTCGATCCGAGCTTCGCACGCGTTCTAGTCGACCAGGACAAAGTCAAGATTGATGGAGGCTCGTGACCTGCTGAATCACAAGTCAGATCCCGCTCTTATCTGGAGTTGTATATACTGGTATATGTTACGTGGATTAGTGCAAAGAACGAGGATGAGTGATGAAGGTGAAGGTGGCTAATGCCAAAGAAAATCACTCCCGCCCCGATTAGATACTTTTACAGAAATCAAGCCCGCGGTACTACTACTTGTGCGTATATTGTATATGTACAGGTTGCAAAGTGACGAAGAAAGATGAATAGAATGGATGAATTTAAAAGCTCGACAGCGAAGAGATTTCAACGCAAAGCAATTCGTCAGCAAGTCAGTCATCAAAGACATCATACGATGCCCTTGATTAGCATGTTTTCCAGTCGACAGTACTCTGGGACGATGGCAGCATAGGCCAAGAACGCATCGTAATCGGCCTCGGCGACTTTTGCGAGCCCTACCTGGGCTTCGGATTCGGCGGTTGGCATCGGCGCAACAGGCGTCAAGGGAGTTGGCGTCGTGGGAGTTCCAGTTGCTGCACCGTTGGACCCGATCGCAGGGCTGAGCAGGCCCAGATTGGGATCGGGAGATGTGTGAGCTGTGGATGCGGTTGCGATGGACGATACGCCCATGCTGTTGGTGCTGGAGCTGGGTGTCAGGCCGTCATTGTATCCGCCACCAAACACGGGCAAGCGCAAGTTACGGGAATCCGGCTCGTTTTCTTCGTCTTCATCTTCCTCGACCAGTGCATTGGGTGCGAGGGCAGGCGGCGGACGGTTGAAAGGCGTGCTAGCTCCGCTGCCTGGTGCTGTGCCCGGGGCCCGGGGGACATTCAAGCTCGGTCGAGGGGCTCCAGACGTTTGGTATCGTTTACTCATCAGCCGCCGAATCTCTTCCTCGAATGCATAGCCACTGCTTCCAGCACCGACACCCCATTCTCGACCCCAGATCCATCGAGCGACATAAGCAGATCCAAGGGACGCACGTGACGGACAGCCTGGAGCAGGTGCATTACGGTGGGGAGAGGTCTGCGCCGATGCGATTTGCGTTGTGGGAACATATACAGGGGCATTGAACACGTCGCAAACGAGATTCGCCACACTGGGGAAATTGGCGGCAGCTCCGGTGGCGATGATACGACCAGGTAATGGTGTAGGATCATAGGGATCGAAGCTCACCCCCAGCGCACTAGAAGCCGGGGGAGGGGGTCTCGGTACCCCGTTACGAGCAGCACTGCGAGCAAGCACGCCGGTTGCCATCATCTTCGCGTACTTGACTCGCAGGGACAGCACTTGGGACTCCAACAAACAGCGCGGATTGGCCCGCAAGTCCCGGAACTCGTTCACTTTCGTCCCCGTCTCGAAGCGGTATATGCCCTTTACATGTGAAAACGGATGCGCATCGCCCTGCAGATGCCAGAAGGAGAAGAGTTTGTCGTCCAGACTGGGCAAGGGAATGTTTCAGCCACGTCAAGAAAGGATAAAACAGTTTACACACCCAATCGATCCCCCTGGGGGCACGATCGCTACCAAGCGGTCAAATGCACTCCAACTTTTAGTATACATATCCCGAACCAGTGCTCTGGGTACATCCGCATTGCGGTTAGTCAGAACGGCGATGTATCGACGCTTCTCGTTGGCATCCTGAGCCGGATGTGGGAACAGAGAGTACAACCGAGTGGGGATGTAGTGCTGTGCGGGGGCCATCATGACATCCATGGGACCGAACTGCAGTACCGCATCCGAGGGTGCCGGCAACAGAGACAGGTAGGCAGCCAGTCCATCGTTCGTAAATTGCGTGACTGCGGTCTCTGGATCAAAGCCATAACGCTCCACAAGATAACGAGCGACGTTTCCAGCACGTCGTCCGCCACTCGTCGTGTCCACTTCACCAAGCCAACCCCGGACTCGGCGCCCCTCTTCCCGGGAGCCACCGACTATATCAAGAATGCCCTCATCCCAGCTGCCCGTGGAGTGTGACCACATCCCAGAGGCACAAGCTTCGGTCTCCGCCATCGGCATCCACTTGCCGCTGATAAGAGACGCCATAAATGCCGAGGCAAGCTGGACCCGGCCAGTGCGAGCCCAAACGTCTTGCGGCCAGGTTTCGCGAATGCGCAAGAGCTGACCGCAGATGTTCGAGGGATTCGAGGCGCCTCCTACGCGGGCGGCCATGTGATCGGCACCGCCAACCATACCCTCAATGGCAAGAGCATGAGTGTGAGACGAGATATCTTGGGCGACAGGAGTGTTGGGGAGCGAAAAATGAGCCGAAGAGAAGTGAGCGACGAATGGAGTGTGCGGGTCCAGGGAAGAAAGCGAGGGGACAGTAGTCGATTTCCACCAAACGAGGGCGTGCTGTGCCGATCCTCCGATGGTTTTTATCCGGCCAAGGTCGTAGTTGCGCTGAAGCTTCTCAAGGAGAGTATCTGTTTGATCGAAGGAACACGTGGGACGGAAGCAAATTGTGAGACAACGGAAAAAAGGGCGGCTTCCAGGACTGACCAAGCGCCTTGAGCCACATCTCCACCGGAGTCGTGTAGGCGTCGCCGGGGGTCGTAAAGATCCCGCCCTGGGTCCTGGGCACGGGGACGTCAGAGCGACAATCGATGGCGCGAAAACGAATGATCGCACTGGTACTCCGCAAGCTCCGTGTCGAAGTCAACACATTCGACACCAACGAGGTCCAAACTCTCATCTACGATCGAGGCGCGTAGCTGGTCTACCGCCAGCTCGAGGCCGAGAAAAAGGGAAGACCCGGGAGGCATTTAGGTTGGTGATAGCGTAGACGTAGGGTAATGGTATCGTTGACGTGGGTATTGAATGAGCGTAAGCGGGCGTATCGACGTCGTGTTGCGAGCCCTGGGAATGGCCAGAGAGATGCACGTAGCGCAGGAAAGGAAGAGTTGATGTACACTGCCAGACGGGAACAGAAGCTTGCACCCGTCTCAAGCGGATCACGTGAGACGACCGACCATCAGGCTCTTTGACGGCAGTGAGTGGGAGAAGGGTCCGTTTTTGCCCAGCGCCGCCGGCTGCAAGGGTGAAATCGCTCATACCGATCCCGTGGTCTGCTCTTGCCCATCTCGGACGGTTTCAATCGGTTTCATTGGCTGCATCACACTTCGCAGTGTGATTATCCACTGATCATCATCTTTCCAGAACGCTCATGAGCTCTACTCGCCGAGGAACACCAGGGAACACCCAGTATGGTCCCCGTTGTGCATGGCAATCATAGCAACGTCGGCCGACTGACGACAGGACGAATAGAATGAACTTTCGCACTGCCAACCCAACCAAGCACGAGTGTTGAACAAAATTACAACTGGACGAGAATCGATGTGGGAAAATAGTCATCATATTCTCAGCGTCGGGCAGATACCCAGTCTAGGCTCAGCATGCGTGGGGATTTCCCTTGAGTAGTGGAGCCGAAGCATCAGATGGATGGATCCATTCTCCAGCAACATCCTCGTGCATCCCGTACGTGCCGCACCGTGCCGCTCTTGTCGCTCTCTACTTGATCTCGGCTGCGCAGTCTGAGAACAGGTCGGATCCAGTTGAACGCATTATACAGTAAGCGCACGATCCGCCCTGCTCGTCCTCACTAGTCGTGGAGCTTGAAAGTGGATAGGAAAGATTCAAAGAGGTTTGCACAAGGAAAAAGAGAGCGAAATGTCCATTCTAGGGCACGTGGCCCACAGATTCTGCATGCGAAGGTCGTCACAAAGATCAAGCAGTGGATCCTGAAGTGAAAGGGCAGCTGCGCTGTGTGGCGCGCCTTTCGCCCAACTCATGTCGGAGGGGGAGAAATCGTCCTACTAGCCAGCTAATCTCGGCGATTAGTAGCAGCAGGATAGCCCCAAATCCCACACATTTGCGACTGTTCGGCACATGGTGAACATTGTCGTCGTGCTTGAAGTAGCCATAAATATCGGGTAGAGCTAGACCGGTCTCTTTTGGATTCCAGCTTCCCGAATCTTCTGTCAGTTGTTTGGGCAAACTGCAGAGCCAAGTGAGGCTGAGGAGATGGACGCGTTGAAAGCGCCTGAATTTGACGGCATCAGAGCCTCCTATCACTGGGATCGCGTGATATACCACCATACTTAGTACAACTTGAATGTATATTCGGAGCGGTGACCCGGCGGTCTTCCTGGCTGGCTTACTCATGCCACATCGGGCTCAAATAGTCCCTTTCACTCGACGCGCAGGCCGAGATAACATCCAGATCAACGAAAATCTTGAAGCTCCCAAAGCAAGGTCATGGGATCAATAGTCGTCGTCGCAGGTGAGCCTCGCGCTCTCACTGTATCTTCACACGAAGTTCATTTGCCGAGGAATCGGGAACGGTTCGGGGACTGGTGCTGCAGCAGCGTACTTTACCGTTTCACGTCGATGGTCTGCGCTGATTACAGGATCCCTGCAGGCGATTGTTCGCAAGCGAAGGTTATACTGTGGCCCTCATTTCCCGTGGGGCGGATTCCCTCAATGCGCTTGTGCAGTCAATCAAGAGTTCTGGGGGACAGGTACGCTTATCTTGTACACACTCCGAGCAGCCGGCTCCATGTTGGTCCTTGCGATAGGCCAGTGCATTCCCAGTCTCCGAGTACAGCGATCATGAGATCTCCTCGGCCTTCTCTGCCATCGAGAAACAGTTTTCGACTCCTGATTACAGTATCCGCGCTGCCATCTTCAACGCTGCCCATGGTGTTTGGAAGCCTTTCCTGAATGTCACGCTGGAGGACATCCGTGCATCCAACCAAATCAACGTCGAATCTTCGTTTGCGTTTTCGCGCTCCGCTATCCTCGCTTTCCAGAAGAACACTCCTGAAGCATCGAATGGCGCCAAAGGAACCTTGATCTTCACGGGAGCTACTGCAAGTCTGCGAGGGAATGTCGTGACAAGTGTTTTCTCAGCAGGCAAATTTGCTTTGCGGGCCTTGTCCCAAAGTTTGGCAAAGGAATTCGGGAAGCAGAACATCCATGTGAGTTTCGAACTGCCCATCAAATGTGTCAAACAGGTATTGAGTTGTCCAGGTCGCACATGTGAGTCTGTCTCAGCATGTTACCTGCCTCTCCGATTGATCCCTGTCAGGCTATCATCGACGGCGGTGCGTGAGAAGCCGTAATGTACTATCCTCTCCGGCTTAGGGTTCCAGGCATTGCCACCAACAACTCGCGCGAAGATAGGCACACTCCTCCGAGTGGGCCGGTCGAGAATCCAGACCCATCATCCAAGCTGAGTCCAGAGAGCATCGCGAAGGCAAGGCATCCGATCGTAATGTTTGTTTTGATCCGCTCATCTTGTGCCCAGTCGTACATCTATCTTGTCCGCCAGGATCAATCTTCGTGGACATGGGAGCTTGATCGTGAGCGTCGACAGTGTAATTCGCTTCTCAGTGTCTAAACTTTGACCTTCTTAGTCCGTCCTGCTCACGAGAAGTGGTAATCGATCCGGGCTAGGCAGTTTTATCTCCAGTCAGACGTTGAATGACCTTCGATAATCGATTTGAAATTCTGATGCACATGCTACCGACCGAAGAATCTTAATCAACTTTTGAGCGTGGGCTGACGACGGACATAGCATAAAACGCGGCGTCTGGCGTATGGAATGACACCAGTTCTTCTCCCACTCCAACGGCCATGTCCAAGGTTATTCTGGTCGGATGTGGGATCGCTGCCCCTGTTCTTGCCCTCCTCCTCAAGCAGAGAGGATATCAGCCGGTGATTTACGAGCGGCGAGAGCAGGATGCCGACGGAGGATTGAGCGTTCTGTGTGTTTCAATTGCCCCACCTCTGTTCTGACCCTGCTAATCGCGAGCGAATAGGCTGCAGTTGAACGGCTTACGCATCTTGTCGCTGATTCCTGGCATCATTGAGCAGCTCCCTGGAAGGGTGGTCGAAGAAGCTGCGAATTTGTCCATTGTCCCAACAGAAGAGGGCGTTCTATGCCGCTCCTCGTTCCCTGCAATGGTCCGTAAGAGATACGGATTTGGAATGATGGGTGTCCACAGGCCGCGTTTTCTTGCACTTTTGGCCTCGACGGCGGCTGCCCATGGGATACCTATCCACTACAACATGAGCGTTGTCCACGTGACACAATCTGATCAGTGCGCGACAGTCCATTTTGACAATGGGCAATGTGACTCGGCCAGTTTTGTGGTCGGCTGTGACGGACTGCACAGTGTGGTCCGCACTGCACTGTTTGGAAGAGACGCCCCTACATTTACCGGTCTGACACAAGTTGGTTCTGTCTGTTCGTGAACTTCGCACAGGGTCGTTGAACACTGCGCAATCACGCAGATGGGTGGATTCATTCCGATGGCGTTTCCCGACCAGAAGCCAACAATTTTCAACTTCTTTGGGGATGGTCTCCACGTTATCTCCTATCCCGCTTCAGAGACGGGATACATATGGGGGTGAGTCACTTGGAATCAACTTCAACCACGGCCACGTGACATTTGTTCAAGAATCACACAACGCGAAGCGGAGATGAAAGAAACATGGCGCGTCATGAACTCTGCTTGCCAGGAGTCCATCCGATCTGGACCGTTCTCTCGGCTTCCGTTTGGCATCGGCAAACTCATTCAAGCTTCGGAGAGAATTACGAAGGTTAGGTCCCCGCTTTACCCCGGATCATTCGACCGCTCATCGAGACGCAGTTCGGCTTGTACGACCGACCGGAACTGAAGTCCTGGCACAAAAATCGTGTGATCCTGATCGGTGATGCAGCTCATCCAACCAGTCCCGTAAGCTGCATTACCCTTAATCGATTTTCTCGGGTCAATCCTTCCATATGCAGCATCTCGGCCAAGGGGCGAATCAGGCACTCGAAGATGCATTCCATCTCGTCCGCATCCTTGTCCAGAACCATCCGGACCCCAATTCAAATCCGTCAACGGCCACTCTACGCGCGATTTACAAGGCATTCGAGGCGAAACGGATCTCCCGGACCGCAACCTTGGTTCAGGAGGCTCGCAAAGCCGGAGAGTTGCGGGTCGTGCAGGGCTTTGATGCGGCTTTGGCGAGGAACGAGTTTCTGAGATCGCAGTGGTCAGATGAGCAGGCGTTGCTCAGATCCAAAGTTGATATGCTGAGCGAGCAGTGGGAGGATTGTTGGAATTGAGACACGCTGATACTAATACGCAATAAGTACGAGCGAGCATCATCTACTGTCTAGACTGAACTACAGCAAGTAGACTCTCCAAAGCGGCAGAGTCGAGATCTGGTGGCGGAATGGCTTCCGCCTCGTGTTCGGCGTCCAGTGACATGTAACCGAACCCCACATCAAGTCGTGTATAACAGAACTGTTCCTCACCAGATTCTGACTGGAACACGAATCGTTTGAGGGTCTCCAGCTCGGCTTCAAAGCGGGACAGGACAGCGTGCCAGGGGTACGGGAAATCGATCATCTCGTCCCCGTCAATCGAGCAATCGGCGAGCTCGAGCGATTCCAATGTTTTCCCGTGTTGCACGATGAACGAGAGCATGTTGTATTCCAGCGCAGTATCCACGAAAACGAAGTCGTACAGCGACAAGGCTGTTAAACGGGGAAATCGGAGGGTCGCTACGTTGAGAGCAGGCTGGGAGCCGACGCCTTGGTCACTGCGGATCACCAGTGTGCGTACCTCATCAGCATATTCCAGCATGCTGGGTACACTGATGTTCCAGTAATCAACCAGCGGATCTTGAAAGTAAGCCCCCTCGTAGTCCACATCAGAAATCACAGAAATATCCACAGTCCTGGCCGATTTGAACAGCGCTCGGAATCCGTCTCGAGTGTAGATGTCGTGTGGGACGGCGATTAGATTGTGGAGGGTCAAAGATCTGAGAGTGGACAGAGGCCGGGAAGCCAAAGCCGCGAAAATTTCTTGTTGAAGAAGAAGATAGTGCGTCGGCTGCTCGGGGATGTCGTGGGAACCATCTTCTTGAAAAGTGTCGTGGAATTCAAGATGCAGGCTTTTCAGGCGAGGAAAGTTCGAGAGGCCCGAGAAAGCACCCGACAACGCCACTCGCCGTGCTTGCGATTCTACCTCTTCGGGGGGACCTGAAATCAAATCAGTCGCTGCATCCTGATTCCAAAATACTGGACAAGCCCCACTCGTCCATCTATCAGAAGCGGGCGCGTCAAAGCGGACGCTTTCCACCAAAGGAGCCACGCTCAAGGTGCAGGTCTCTAGGAACAGTAGCGCGGCCCCGCTCTTCACAGAATCCGTCACAACGATTTCGCGGAAGGCAATGGGGGTTGCGGCGTCTCTGAGGGCGCGCGACACCAGCCGAAGGGTAAAGATAGTCTCGTCCCACTGCGCGTCTTTCGAAATTTGTTGTAACAATTCAAGAGGAAGCGGGGACATGGAGGGAGCAAGAAAATGGCGTGGAACCAATAAAGCGTGGCAACCTGAGATTTGGCGCAGTCAGTCAGTACTTGGTGAACGCAATTGATCCGCGGTCTGATGCATTGGCAAAGCTGATAACGAAATCTTAGGTATTACCACTGGTCGAATGTAGATTCGTTGCCACAACTGTTACCACAACAAGACTCCGAAAGAGTTTACGATTGTAACTCTGTGTCGCTCAATCAGCCTCCAGTCCAACACACCGCTTTTTGTGAGCTGGCCAGTGAGGAATTACCCATCGCCCCACGAGCCAGGAAAATCAAGGATACCTGCGTGACGAGAAGGCTGGTTGTTAAAGGTGCGAGCCTCAAGCAGGGTAAAGTATTGCCAGTACTTGAATGAAAGGAGGGCCGTGATCGAATTCGATCACCAGGTATCTGCTGTATCTGCTGTGAATCCAGAATTTCTCAAGGAGACGCAAGGGCACCTGCACACGTATCGCAGAAGCGCCAGCTCGGCACGGTTGACAACGTAGATACCTGGGCCCAAGCCCCGTGGGGGTGGGGTTGGATAGATCATGACTGACCTCGGGACCTCGATGATTCCAGCATTTCCGCTGTCGGCTCATAGCTTTCGGCCCATACGACGGACACCGTGTCCATTCAGGTCTGCAGTTGGTGGTGAGCACAAGTTTAAGATGCAATGGCGTCCAATCAACCTGTCATTGTTTCGTTGTTTGCTGTGATTGGGATGCACGTGATCGAGACCCGTCGTGACGATCATCTGCGTCCTAGTCAGCGATAAGTCATAGACTACGAGAAGAAACCCGTTTCTCTTGCATCGTCAGTTGGAAAGAATACCTTCCTTCACATGCTTCCGAAGATAATTGCCTTCGATCTGGAGTGAGTGGGTTGTCGGCGAGTTCGTCACGGTCCTCGTTCTCTGTCCCTGCCCTTCGGACGTACTGAATGGCATCCCTTCAGTTACACTCTGTGGGATCTCTGGATCGACACCCATGTCACGCCGCCGCTCACATCATCAGACGACACGGGCGCTGTTGTCGACGCCCACGGGACAGAGATCGATTTCTACCCTGACGTGCGGGCGATACTGCGCCGTCTGAGAGCGGACGGCGTTTTTGTGGCTGCATGCTCGAGGACGCACGCACCCGATCTGTGAGTTCAGGATCGACCGATATAATTGGGAAGCTGCTTATGGGACGGCAGCGCGCTCCGAGCACTCAACCTCCTCCGTGTTCCCGAGTCGGATGAGGAGGACGGTATTGAGCCCGGAAAGCCTGCTATCGAGTACTTTGATAACCTGCAGATATACCCTGGCTCGAAACTTGCGCATTTTCGAGCGATACACAAGAAGACGGGAATCCCATATGAGCAGATGGTAGGGTCGACATCTCCCCAGACTTCTACCCTTCTGATCTGGAATCCAGTTGTTCTTCGACGATGAGTCGCGGAACCGGGAGGTCGAACGATTGGGTGAGTAGGTTCTCTGGTTGATATACGGGATGCTTCAACACTAGTACAGGAGTTGTCTTCCATTACACCCCCCAAGGGGTCAGCCACGATGTACTTGCAGCTGGACTGAAGTCGTGGACGAATCGCGTCATCGGCAACTAGATCATTCTCAACGTTGAACTTTGAATGCGTCTAGTCACACCATCCCCGCAGAGAGTGCGGTGACACATCCAGCATGTGGGCCGGGGTCATTGGCCTGTCCGTCTCTGACGCTGAAAATATAAGACGATTGCTGCTGCATCGCATCTGTCAAGCGTACGAAGCCAGAGCTCGACCTGTCACCAGGCTAGCAGTGCTTCTTCTGCAGGCAGCAAACGGCAGTGAATGGATGGATTATTTGCGTTGACTCGGAACTTCTTTAACGCTTTCATGGACTCCCTCTCCTCGATTTTAGCACTTTCCTGGTTTAGATCCACGATGCCCATCATAATCGTAGTCCCCTGCATATGCATGCACTACTTGTGCTATATCACATGTCGAGATGACTCGCAAAGCTTTGTGACATGTCCTCAGCTACGAGATTGATCAGCTCGCTGCCAAATAGGATTCAATACGACTTGCTTCATCACCTTCCGAATTGTTGATTCTCAATCTCACAGATCCCAGAACTCTTTCCCATCCGAACGACTGCATGCCGTATATCTTCGAGTCAGTTTCACCGCTCCCCATGCGCTCTTGGGCTCCAAATCGTATGGGCAATGCCCTCAAGTCGCTTTCGATCTGCCCATCTCCCATCACGTCTATCCGTCTGCCAGACTCTACGTGTCCTTAGCCATAAATCAATCGCAAACTGCTAGTTCTTACCTGATTTCGGTGTCTCTTGAGCCTTTGATGTGTCCTGTTACACCGCCCGGTGCATGCATGAGTGCACCGTCAGTCAGCGCCGCGACAGCTGCTTGTCACCGCCCACATGTATAAAAGCGCGTGCTCTGGAGCACTAACCTCATCATTGCTCTTCCCGGTTTCTCCTTCGTTGTTCATTCCTTTATTCCCTTATTTCCTTCTTTCTCTCGACGAGACCTTTTCTCCACGACAGTCCAAGAATCACCGATCACAGTATCAACTTCACCATGCTCGTCTTCCCCTTACTCCTTCTCCTCGCTACCGTGGCACAGACTGCCCCTGTCGCCTTGTCCAACTCTGACAAGCGTTGTGTCGGATGGGCCAACTGTATCCCACCCGCGCCTGCGAACAAGCGTACCGAAACTCGTTCCTTGAGCTCCGTTCTCCTCCTTCCTGGTGCATTGCGCAAGAGGCAAGATGACGGTTTCGACTTTGGCTCGGATGGTATGCAATCGTTCCTTCTCGAGTCGCGATCTGAAAGGTTTTGTCATGTGTAGATTCGGGTGATTCAAGCTCGTTTGATGATACCAGCTCGTTCGACGACGGTAGCTCTTTTGACGACACCAGCTCGTTCGATGACACCAGTTCCTTCGATGACACCAGCTCTTCTGACGACACCAGCTCTTTCGACGACACCAGCTCGTCCGATGGCAGCTCGTCCGACACCAGCTCGCTCGACTCTTCAACCACGTTTGACCCCTCTTCATTCGATTCGAGTTCATTCGATACCAGCTCATCCGATACTGGACTGGCTGACTCTACCGGTAAGTCTTGATATCCTCACATGGAAACCCGACATCTGAATCCATGCTTCCTGACAGACACTTCAGGCTCAACCGACTCTGGATCAGCAGATGACGGTCAGATTTGCTTCGATTCGACGGCCGGTGTAGATTTCTGACCCTTCTTCTGATCTGCAGGATCCAGTTCGTTCTTGGATCCCAGCAGCACAGACACGACTGATTCGGGATCGGCAGCGGACCCCTCAGCGACCGACTCCTCGAGCACGGACAGCTCGCTGTTCGGTTCTTTCTTCGATCCCAGCAGCACCGACACGACCGGTGCAGCTGATCCAGCGGCTACGGATGCATCCTCCTCCGACAGTTCGCTGTTCGGCTCGTTCTTCGATCCGAGCAGCACAGACTCGACCGGTGCTGCTGATCCCGCGGCGACGGACGCATCGACTTCCGATGGCTCGTTTGGCTCGTTCTTCGATCCCAGCAGCACGGACTCCACAGGCGCACCGGATCCAGCAGCGACGGATGCCTCGACCACCGATGGTTCTGGGTTCGACCAGTTCCTGGACCCTACCGACGCTAGCACGGCCACTGATCCTGCCGCCACCGACAGCACCGGTGCGACTTCTGCATCCGACTCTACCCCGACGGACACAGTCGACACGAGCACCGATGATTCGTCTTCGAGCACGACTGCGGCTGCTGCAAGTGCTGGACCCACTGGTGCCACTACGAATTCCGGCGGAGGGTCTTCGAGTCCATCTGCTGCATCCAGCAACACACCGAGTTCCTCCTCCTCGAATGGTGCTCTGACATGCGGTGGTGCGGTGCCCAACGCTGCCACGATCGCGCTCATCAAGCAGGCGGAGGGCTTCGTCCCATCTCCGGCCCCCGACCCCATTGGTCTCCCGACAGTCGGTTTCGGCCACAAGTGCCAGACCAAAGGGTGTGCCGAGGTCGGGTTCAGCTTCCCTCTGTCCCAGAGCACGGCGACGCAGCTCCTGCAGCGTGATCTCGCGACGTTCGTGACCTGCGTCAACAACGCCGTGAGCAGCTCCGTGGTTCTAACGGACAACCAAGTGGGCGCGCTTTCGTCGTTTGCGTTCAACCTCGGATGCGCCACTCTCAAGAGCTCGACTCTTCTCAAGCAGCTCAATGCGGGCCAGGATCCGAATACCGTCGCTGCGGCCCAGATCCCTCGCTTCAACAAAGCTGGTGGAAAGGTGCTCCCGGGTCTCGTCACCCGCCGCGCTGCGGAAGTTGCTCTGTTCCAGACCCCCTCCAGCGTCCAGGCACACCCTTGTTGAGTATTCACCCAGTTGTAGTAGGTACTTGGCGCTGTGTACAAATACATAGTGGTATCGATTATTAGATATAGCATCTACATTTGTCTACGTCGCAGGCGTACATCGCTGGGTCACAGTCCGTTGAAGCGCTCCCAGTTTTTCATGCATGAGTATCCATCATAATCTGCGGGGACACATCAGTCTTAGCGTGACGTGCATCACAGATCGAAAAACGCACCAAAGTTGCTGGAGGGATTACACGCGCAGCGGTTGGCTTCCCATACGGCGGGGTCCTTGGGGCAGTGCGTGTAGGGGTTGTGCTCGTAGCCAATCTCCTCGAAGAACTGCAGTTGATCTTTGGATGCGAAGATGCCTGCGGCAATCGAGTGCACAGGAGCATCGCCCCACCGCTGTCAGAGAAACTACGTCGGAATCATCTAACAGCAAAGAACTCATCGCCCGCACCTCGTAATAGAATCCCCCTTTAGAATCCAGGTAGTCAAAGAAAGCAGTGTATGCAGGTCCCCGCCAGAAATTCATGTCGGCGATCTCGAAGTTGCTCCAGAAATGGCAAAGATTGTAGGTTTCTCCGTTATCGTTGCTCATGAAGCCGAGCGAAT